CTGTTTTCCATACATTTAAGGATTCATTTAAAAATGATTTTATTCACACTTATATCACTCAATGGACTTGTGCTATGCTACACCCCTGAACGCCCACCCGCCTTATAAGGTCAGCAGATCAACCCAGTCAAAGTCAAAGCTCAGAAATTCTCAAGAAATAGTCATGGTTTTGACCTGTTTGAAGTTTTGAAAATTCTGACTTTTTCAAGAACACTTTTTTCTCAAAACCAAAAAACTTTTGGTCAGAAAATTCAAAATTCCGACTTTTTTTAAACTTAAAGGCTTGACTTCCACAACTGAAAATAAAAAAATATTTATAAGAATTCTAAGTCAAATTTCTGACTTATTTCTGACTTTATTTTTAAAAAATAAAACACTTTTGGTCAGAAAAATTCAGAATTCAGACATATTTCGAAGAAGAAAAAAAAAGTTTTTAGTTCTGAGAAAAAAGTCGGGGAGTAGCAGAAAAAGTATTCTGATTCTTTACTAAGAGGATTAGGGCCACTCTTAACATTTTGAAAAAATATTGCATTTTTTTTTACTTATCTTTCAGAACAAAAAAAAACACAAGAAAAGACATCAATAGAAATGCTTGCAGCCTGCAGTTTCTCTCACCACCACCGAGGGGCAGTGCTACTTTAAAAACACCCACAGTGTTCAGATTTCCAGCTGGACGTCACTCTGCATGCTCTCCTCACATCAGCTGCACAACATTCCTGATGTTATGCTAACCGGAATGTTTCCAATCCCCAAATGTATGACCTGCCTGGACCCGGGGTGGGAGTTTATGAATGTACGGGCATTGTGCCGATGATTCAATAAGTTTGACCCCTTCGGTATGGGTCGGAACATTTCAGGGCAGCGTACTGAGAGAGCATTGTTAAGGTGCCCACTACACTTCACAGGCAGATTTAATAGCCATGGAGACAGAGATAGTGGAGCCTTCCAGATGTAGAGGGCATAATCTGTGATCTGTGAACAAGGCAGTGAGAGAAAGAAGTGGATGTCAAAGAAACTGATCATACATTTGATGATGTAGATCAGGGACCTTCTTCTTATGTCAAGAGTTGTTGGATTTTAAGTTAATAATATAAAGTCACTCACTTCATTATTGGGTTCTGTGTAACTGATAGGAAATACTAGTTGAGTTTTAAGGGGTAAATGGGGGGGAAGAAGAAAAACCTCTTTACTTTTTTCTATATTTGCCACTGAAAATTGTATGAAGAGGTGTCATTGTTAAATTTTTACATACTCATTTTGTGTTTCCATGAATCCAGGAATCTAGATTTTCTTATAAGGTGTGTTGGGGTCCAGGGCTACTGAGACAAATAGAAATCCTTTGACTGGGAATAGATTAATACACACATACCTCCACGAACACCAAATGCCTCATCTTGCATTTTAACGGATGAGAATGTCGGATACACTCCAGAATTTAATTGGTTCTTACTTGGCCTATACTTTTCTCTGCTACCAATTTCCATGTAAATAAGGCAAGTAGTTTGTGCTCAGAATAAGACAAAAACAATAAAGTCATATTTGATTTACATTAAGAAAGTAGGGAGAGTTCAAACAGATTAATGTCATACACACACACACCTGCACATCTTCAGTGCACACAGGGCTCCCTGAGATTCCTGCGGAGTCAGCTCTTCTTTGATGGGGCACCCTGAGTCCACTGCAGGTCAGACTAACAGACTCTGCCTGTGCTCGGTGTTAGCTCACTGCAAACAACAGTAGCACTACTGTATTTAAACATACCTGCCTACAGGGCTCTCTGTATACCTGCACAGAGACGTGTTACTGCTCCAAACTGTGCACACACCTCGCCTCCATACCTGCTTCCCTGTTTGCACATGGCACAGGTCTGCTTCTTGTGAAATACCTTGTTTTTATGACACGCTTAGAGAGTGTAACAGTCTGGATTCTGACCAAAGTACGAGTAAATGCACGCTTGATTCTGAGATATGATACGGTTACCAGGTATAGTTTGATATAAAGGAAAACGTTCTTATCTTAAACTACTAACAACAAGATCTGTAGATTAGTAACCATTGCATATTTCTTTGAGCTCTTCAACCCAAATTCCCTTTTATAAGATAATAGGTAGTCATCTCCCTGGCCGATATCTCCAACATTTAGCAGCTTTCGCCACAACAATCTAGACTGATGAATTGCACAGTAAAAACATGTTGTTTTCTTTCTATTTAGGGTGAACTGTCCCATGTGACGTATGGTTTTCAGAGGTAATAAGCAGGATCTATTGGTAAAGACCCTGTCTCTTGTCTATAGAAGAAAGACATGACAGCTCATTGCCTTTTGACTCCACTGTGTGTGTGTGTGTGTGTGTGTGTGTGTGTGTGTGTGTGTGTGTGTGTGTGTGTGTGTGTGTGTGTGTGTGTGTGTGTGTGTGTGTGTGTCCCATAATGCCCTATTACACCAATGTTGACATCATCCACAGATGTGCAGGAGACGTCAGTCATCGTCTATCTGCACAAACACACAAGCCTTTTGTTTAGGTGGTGCTTCTGGTGCCAAGTAAATGTCCGCAGGTATCCAACACTCTTATATATCCAGTCACTCAACCTTAATTGTAAAATATGGTTGTTTTTACACCCGATGGCAGTGTGTGGGTGTTTTCCCTCCTGCTCTGGCCACCTGCCACCTTTTTCCCTTCCTGTCCTTGCACCGTTGAAGCTAGCTTATCAGTCACAGTCATATGCACATGGACACTCTTGCAATTCAAGTCATCTTCATCAGTGCCTTGCAGACTTTGGCCACATTTTTCAAACAGCAGCAGATAAAAATAACCCTTCTGAAATGTCCAAGTTACAGTTGGTGGTCAAAGGTTATCTCTTGCACACCTTGGTTTCTTAACCTCACACAAATCAAGAGTATTTGAGTCTCACACGCTCATCATTTAGACAGTGTCCAAAACATTCATTTACATGCATGTATTTATACCAACTAAAAACACACTCTAGGATTCACCCAAGTTCACACATTTACTCTTCACTCAAGTGGACTCGTTGTGACTGCACACACTCCTAAATCACTCTGTGTCTTTAGGCGTCTAAAGGAATAATCATACATTTATGAGGCTATTAATCTCACAAGACAAGGCGGGGTCTTCAGATGAGAGACAGAGAGACAGCGGGGGGAGGAAAAGCAAGAAAGAGGGGGACAGACATTCAGGGGAGGGTGGGGGAGAGACATGATTCCCACAGTCATAAATATGAAGTTTTCTGAAGGGTATTTCTTTCCTTCTATGTCCTGAGGTTAAGGTGCCATCTTTCTGCCATTTTAATGCTAACCACTGGGCTGGAATCATCAGCACAATTCTCTAAAACATCCTGGGTTTAGATTATGTTTTTCACCAAATACTGAGGAGGAAAACAAGCACAGTGATTGTGATATCACCCATTAGTTTCTAAAGGGTTGTTTTAAAGACTAAAGATGATTTCACTGCGTGTATTAATCTGTGTTAGAGCAGAAACATTGAGCTATTGGATGGAGCTGAGGTAAAGCTACCAACAAAACACAATCACAATTATGTCTGTGGAGTAATGTAGCCCATCAAAGCGCATATGAGAAGTAAAATGATATACAAACACCTTGGCATATTGTAGGAAACTTTATTCTTAAATGTCTCATATGTTAACAAACTCTTCGAGGCCACTAAGGGAGACGTTTAAGGCTCCTTAAAACTTCAAATCTAGTTTAATGTTTGATATCTTCAGTCGGGCTGTGTGTGTTTTCTAGGAGCGGCTGCTGGTTCCTGAAGTGTTTGTTAGTTTTTGTAATTTCCTGTGATTGTTCTCAGAGCAAAACAAGAAAATGTTCTGTCCTTAATTTTGCCGTGGCGGTTGGAACAGACTCAGACATGTAGAACGATAGATGCTTAAAAAAAAGAAACCTTTTCTGCTTTCTGATCAAAGTCATGATGGTCCACACACACACGCACGCACGCACGCACGCACGCACGCACGCACGCACACACACACACACACACACACACACACACACACACACACACACACACACACCTCTTCCACAACCCGGGAACCTGAACCGAGTGTGGCCTCTTTAAAGAGCTCAAAATGGACACATGTTGTAAGGCTTCTCTCATCATTTTTCTTAAAACCAAAAGTAGATTATTAGTCACTGCTTTACTGGCTGTGACGGAGACAGAGTAGAGTTCATTACCGGCACAAAGACACATTCAGGACTCGTGTTGTCACCAGTGAGAGGTTCGTCTATAGACACTGTGATGACAAAGCTGCATTACTGACACACCCTGTGTTCAGGAAACTGTGAGCATCAGATGAGTAGCACATGCCGGATAGAAGTGGTGTTGTGTCATTAATGCTGATTGTAATACACTGATATACAGTATGACTCTAAATATGTTTTAAGGGGTCCTATTCGGCTTTCTTCCCTCTCCTGTAGTGTGTTTTATAGATTTGTGTGGATGTAAATGGTCTGCAAAGGCTAGAATCCCTGGTTTAATGAACCTGCAATTGAGCGTTATGCATACTTGCCAACCTTGAGACCTCAGAAATCGGGAGCCGGAGCTGTAAGATAAACATTAACATGCTTATTGTAGTTGTAAGTGCACTGCCTTGCGGCCTGTAGCACCGTCCTTGATGGAGCATATGTGTGGGCTGGACCTGTATTTTACAGGAAAGGAGTGAGCAGAGAGTAGAGTAGTTGTCGATTCTTGTTCTGTTTTCTCTGACTATCTGCCTCACCCTCTCAGACTTTGAGTTGCGCGCGCTACTAAAGAGACGTGTTACCATGGAAACCAAACAATGGTGTAGCTGTATTAAAGTCCGAGTGGAAACAGTCGTGTGTAAATCTGATTTTGTCAATAATCGGGAGAAATGCGGGAGAAATACGACCCCGGGAGGAAACCGGGAGAGGGCAATGAAATCGGGAGTCTCCCGCGAAAATCGGGAGGGTTGACAAGTATGATTACAGGCATTGTATTACATTTCGACATGAGTGTAAAAGGCTGCTTCAACCACAGTCTCACACCTATCACCTCCATCAGGGGCTTCAGTGGTACATCCTGGTACTTGGTAAGATATCGACCCAAGTAGTATTACAGTAAAACTTCTCCAGCTGCTCTTCTTCTTCTTCATTTGCTTATCTTTTCAGGGTTTGTAGGAGGTAGACCCTGAACATATTGCAAGTCTTTGCCACATAGAAAAAGACAGTCGCATAAGTCATTGAACTGGGGAAGGAAAGCCAAACAGCCACGGGACAAACATGCAAACAAATTACTTATACACATCTTTTGGTGCTCACTAAGGAATCACATGTCTCTCTGTAGCTTCACCAATCAACTTTCCTATTCACTAGGAGAACGAAGAATGTTGATTTCCGTTTCTTTGTGTTTCCGCAGCATCCTGTTCGCAGACATCGAGGGTTTCACCAGCCTGGCGTCGCAGTGCACGGCGCAGGAGCTCGTGATGACGCTCAACGAACTGTTTGCCCGATTTGACAAACTGGCAGCGGTAAGAATATACATTGAACCTTATTTCATAGACAATAATGGTTTTTGAGAGTATTCGCCAATTACTCCTATGCAAATATCAAAGATACTTATGAGGAAAAGCAGAATGAATTTCCAGATTGATGGGACAGAAAATATAGAAATATAATTGACCACATCGCAGCCGATTCCTTTTCTCTTGTATTCATATTGAGGTAATCCAAAAGTAACAGAACTTTGAACAGAGCTTTTAAGGAGAGGAGCTGCATCTCAAATCTGGCCCACAGCTTCATAGATGCTGCGTTCATGAATATTGATTTTATTTCACTTCATGTAGAAGCGCCATTATTTTTCCAGCTAGTATTCAATGTCTGTCATTTGTTTTTGAAAGGTGAATTAATGTGCTAATCAATATTCATGAGTGAAACAGGGCCAATGTCATGCCAGATGTAACACACACACACACACACACACACACACACACACACACACACACACACACACACACACACACACACACACACACACACACACACACACACACACACACACACACACACACACACAGTGCTCTTTACACAGTGGGTCTTTTTGTGTTTTCCCAGAGCAATGTGCTAGAGAGATACTCAGGTGATTATCATGAGACAGTGTTCCAATAAACCCCCCCCCACAGCAGGGCTCGAGCTTAAGGACGTCCCGTCGTCCCGGGGCCGATAAAAAT